AAAAAGAAAAGAAAAAAAAAAGTCCAATGAAAATCTTCCTAGTTTTCCAAAAATGTGGCCCTTAGCAATCTTTCCCTGGATACTACTTAATGGAGAAATGTAAGCAAAGCAAATAAGATGCCACATTAGCTTACAGCTGACTTTCCTATAGCTGAATTCCTACTGCTACAAGAAGCATCCTCCCTCCTTTTTTTCCACGTTGTCTGACAGTTTTGCAAAACCCAGATGGAAACAACCTATCCAGATGACAGAAATAAATCATCTTCCTGGTGAATCTTGCATTCTGAATTAGTAAGATGTACACAACCACAGCATGACAGCCACGTATTTCCAATCCTGAAATGAAATCCAGTTAAAAGTTGTGAAGACACAGAAGAACAGCTGTGTAAACTGTTCTGAGCTCAGATCTACGCAGGAGAGCTACAATACATTATCAGAATTTAAAAGATCACACACAAAAGCTTTAATACAGTGAGAGAAAAATGGAATTCAGTTTTATTTTGTCCTCTCTGAAACTTCCATTTACACCATGGCCTCATCTATCAAGAGGAAGAAAAGGCCCTGCCTTATACCATAAAAATCAAGTACTCATGTACTTGTTGGAGGTGGCAGGATATTTGTTTCTCCAGTTTTTTGGCTCTGAGAAATTACACTTTCAGTACCAGCGTAGTGAGGAACCACTGGCAAACTGCTGGAAATGTCTTCTGGATTAGTCAGTGTACCATTTCATAAAGTGCTTCTGGAGGTAAAATCTGCCAAGCTGTCAAAAGTGTCCACACTTTTGCAACAAAGGATAAAAGAATCCCAGTGGGTATCACTGAGTCCTTCCCAGCTGGGTCTCATTATTGGCACTGCTGCTTTAACCTCCAAGGCGCTGGCCCTCACCCCAGGCGAAGCCTCCTGGCCGTTCTTCAGGTAGTGGATTGTAATTTGGATCCTCATCTGGTGTATCAAAAATAGCTTTCCTAAAAGACAGGCAACAGATATAATTTGGTCCCAGAGTCATCTCAGGTCCAAAGTACTACAAGGTCAGTTCAGGTCCCACAGGGTTTCCACCCATAGGTAAACACTACACCCGCCTGCCAATTAAACAGTCAACATATTGTAAGAGCATCTATAATTATTAACATTTACATTAGCTTTTATCTTTCACTGATTTTTACTAGAAAAACAACCCAAATCATAATAATTATAGAGAAGGAGAAAACAAGAGATTAGCAAAATATCCTAAATTCCCAGAGGTAACTACTGTCAATGTTTCAGTTATTCTTTGGGAACTTTTACATTATGTAATTTTACAAAAGTTAGATCACACTACTTTTGTAAGCTGACTTTCACATATTTATCATTAATGTCTCCCCATAACCAAGGTATCACCCAAGTGTCCATCAACAGGTGAATGAACAAAATACAGTACATACATATTACAGAATTTTTTTTTTTTTTGAGATGGGGTCTCGCTCTGTTGCCCAGGCTGGAGTGCCATGGTGCGATCTCGGCTCACTGCAACCTCTACCTCCTGGGTTCAAGCAATTCTCCTGCCTCAATCTCCCGAGTAGCTGGGATTACAGACACCCGCCACTATGCCCAACTAATTTTTGTATTTTTAGGAGGGACGAGGTTTCATCATGTTGGCCAGACTGGTCTCGAACTCCTGAACTCAGGTGATCTGCCCACCTCGGCGTCCCAAAATGCTGGGATTACAAGCATGAGCTACTGTACCTGGTCAACATGGTAAAACCCCGTCTCTACCAAAAATACAAAAATTAGCCTGGCACGGTGGCGCGTGCCTGTAATCCCAGCTACTACTCAGGAGGCTGAGGCAGGAGAATCGCTTGAACCTGGGAGGAACACGTTACAGTGAGCTGAGATTGCTCCATTGCACTCCAGCCTGGCAACAGAGCAAGACTGTCTCAAAAAAAAAAAGGAAGGAAATTCAGACACATGGTACAACACAGATGAACCTTGAGGACTTTACACTAAATGAAATATGAAATAAGCCAGACAAAAAAGGACAAATATTGTATGATTCCACTTATGAGGTACATAGAGTAGTCAAATTCAGAGAAACAAAATAGAATGGTGGTGGCTGGGGTGGCGAGTTGTTTAATGAGTACAGAGTTGCAGTTCTGCAGGATGAAGAGAGTTCTATGGATGGTGGTGATGGCAGCAAAATAGTATGAATATACTTAATGCCACTGAACATTTAAAATGAGTTAAGATGGTGAATTTTATGTTAGGTATTATTTTACTACAAAAGTTTTAAAAAATTCACAAGGTATCCCAAGAAAAATTACTGCAGAACATAGGAGGGGATAGTAAATGTCCAAAAGACTCTCTAAGTACTAGGATGTAGTAATTCAAAACCTCACTAAAGAAGGAACCATTAAAGCAGCATCCTCAATTTGCACTTATATTTCTACTTGTAATCCCCCACAGTAGATAAAATTAGAAATGTATTTGAAAACTTCTAATTTATACTGGAGTCAGAAAAACTATACTTCAAAATGAGTTTTAAAAATTCTTACGAATTAACAATAAAAACAAACCAACAGAAAAAATGGGCAAAGGGCTGAATAGGCAATTCAAAAAGGAAATCCGTGTGGTCAATAAACGTGAGAATGTTTGCTCTCACAATAATCAAAGGAAAGCACATTAGAAACTGAGATCCCGGCCAGGCGTGGTGGCTCATGCCTGTAATCCCAGCACTTTGGGAGGCCGATCACCTGAGGTCAGGAGTTCAAGACCAGCCTGACCAACATGGCGAAACCCCATCTCTACTAGAAATACAAAATTAGCTGGGTGTCGTAGCGCATGCCTGTAATCCCAGCTACTCAGGAGGCTGATGCAGGAGAATCGCTTGAACCCAGGAGGCGAAGGTTGCAGTGAGCCGAGGCTGAGCCTCTGAACTCAAGCCTGGGCAACAGAGTGAGCATCCGTAGCAATGACAACAAAAACAAAACTGAGACCCCTTCTACTGCCCAAACATTAGCAGGATGGGGGTGGGGGCACAGCCTGGTATAGGGAGTCAAGAGCCCCATCAGACCATGCACACATGGAGGTGGCCCGACGAGATGTTAGCCTGAGTAGGGTGGGGAGGCATCCCCGTAAGAGGGCAGCCTGGTCTGGGGAATCTGAGGGTGAGTGAGATGAGCAAGGCATCCATATGGGGGAGGTGGAGACTATCACAAAAGACTGGTTACATATGAGTGGTAATTAGGTAGGTAAAACATTAATCATAATAAGAATCAGGTTAGGACAGATGGAAAGGGCAGATGGAAAGCAGTGGTACATTCACACAACCAAATAACACTCAGCAATAAAAAGGAACAAATTACCAATAAATACAAGAACACAGATGAGTCTCAAAAACATTATGTTGAATGAGAGAAGCCTTTTACCAAAGAGTACATGCATACTGTACGATTCTACTCATGAAGCTGCACAACATGAAAAACTAATCTACAGAGGAACAAAATCAGAATAGCAATTGCTTCTTGGGGGACAGGTGCAATGACTGACAAGGAAGGATATCAGGGAACGTTCTGATTGATGGTAATTTTCTGTCTTGATAGATACACAGAAGTGTGCATTTATAGAAACTCAGTTGACATACTCAAGATTTTGTTGCACATAAATACTGAACTCTAGTTACTGATATGCATACTCAAGTATACAAGGAATTAAGTATACATATAATGGCACATACATTTTGGATTGGAAAGCTAGATGTAGGGGTAGGTGTGCAAAAAGAATAGGGAACTATTAATTACAGAATCTATGTGGTGGCTACATGAAGCTCACTCCAATTTTTTTCTGATTTCCTATAAGTTTGGAAATTTTCATAATAAAATACTGGAGGAAACAAATAGGAAAAAAGCTAGAACGAACCATGAGGTAGTACTAGAAATGGGAGTATAGTATAAACCCATGTTTTTAAAAATACATAGATCTAAAAATATACATTTGTATACATTATCATACATACATACATATAATTCCACTGCTCTGTTCACTGAGAGGATCTGGGAATAGCAACACTCCAATAGCAATGAGCACATCTAGCACCCAGATCTTGGCTTCTAAATACCATTCTCCACTTTAAAGGAACCAGGGCTCCTTGAAGAAACAGCTGATTCTAGGACTGGATCAAGGAGAGCACAGGATGAGCCTGGTATATCTTGTTGTGCCAGAAAACAATTGCAAAAAATAAAACAAAATAAAAAGTGGGCTGTAGTGGCTCACACCTGTAATCTCAGTGCTTTGGTAGGCCAAGAGACAGGAGGATCACCTGAGGACTGGAGTTTGAGACTAGTCTGGGCAACATAGAGAGACCTCGTCTCCACAAAAAAAAATATTTAAGAAAGAAAATAAGCAGAGGTTGGTGGTGTGCACCTGTAGTCCCAGCTACTCAGGAGGCTGAGGCGGGAAGATCACTTGAGCCCAGGGGTTTGAGTTAACAGTGTGCTATGATCATACCACTGCACTCCAGTCTGCACAATGGAGTGAGACCCTGTACTGCATATGTAATTTCCTGGAGGACTGAAATTGTTTCAAAACATTTTTTAAAAATCATAAACAATGAGACATCATCCTATAACTATTCAACTAGGAAAGGGTAAATAAAATGTCTCCCTTGTTTGATGAGGATGTGCAGAAATGAACAGTTACAAATGCTAGTTGAAATGTAAACTTGAACATCCATTCTGGAAGGCGTTTGGCAACAAAATAGCAATTCCACTTCTAGGAATTATCTTTTGAAAATAATCATGGATGTGTGCAGAGATTTAGCTACAAGGATATTCACCACTCCAATTATAGACGAGAAAACCAAGCACTAATGTCAATGTCCATCAATAAGGGATTAGTAAAATTATGCCATATCCATAACATGGAATATCACCTGTTATAATTTTATAACACTTTAGGATGGAAAAAACAATTCTGACATATTAAGTTTACAAGGTTACAAAAATTGTTTTTTGAGACAGGGTGCCACTCTGTCCCTCAGCCCAAAGTGCAGTGGTGCGATCTTGGCTCACTGCAGCCTCAACCCCTCTGGGCTCGAGCAATCCTTCCACCTCAACCTCTCAAGTAGCTGGGATTACAAGCATGTGCCACCATTTGCAGCTTTTGTAGAGATGGGGTTTTGCCACGTTGCCCAGGCTGGTCTCAAACTCCTGAGCTCAAGTGATCCATCTGCCTTCGCCTCTCAAAGTGCTGGGATTACAGGAATGTGTTATGTTGTCCAGGCTGGAATGCAGTGGCTATGTTAAAGGCCTGGCCCAAGAAGAGCAGTGGCTATTCACAGGCGCAGTCATAGTGCACTGTGGCCTTGACTGGCTCAGCGTTTTTTAGAAAGTACAGACAGTAAAGACTGAAGAATAAACACTGAAAAGTTAACAATGATAGCCACTGCTATACCCAAGTGTGGACAATTTCACTTTCTTCTTTTTGCTTAACTAGTCTACAACAAACATTTTATAACAAAAACTCACATTTTACTTCTCAATTGAGCCCTTTTTAATATGGCATCTCCCAAGGATACCAAATTCCAGAGTAGAAAGAGGTCTCATAAATCAAAGTTCTACTGCACTCCAGCCTAGGTGACAGAACGAGACCCCATGTTTAAAACAGAAAGAAAGAAAGAAAGAAAGAAAGAAAGAAAGAAAGAAAGAAATCAAAGTTCTACCTCAGGAAACTGAATTGCAAAAAAGAAGGGACTTGCTCTATGGCTGGTCAGTGGGACAGCTACACCTGGTTTCCAGTCCAAAGCTATTTGCACTCTGCTTCACTTCTTATCTCAACCACCTGCTCGGCAGGCCACAAAGTCCACCATCAGAAACTTTCATCAGTTTTGCCCATTTTGCTACCTTACTTCACTGAACGTGGACAGTGGCTTTCATAAAACCAGCAGGCTCCTCCTGGAATAGGAAGTTCTAGTGGTCATCTGGAACAACGATTACCAGGTTACTCCCAAGATATCCTGAGCCTGTTAACCTTGCTCTTACCACAACCCTGGCACTGTCTGCTCCTACCCAATCCAAGTGCTCTTCAACTGCAGCCAGACTGCTCAATCTGCAAATAGTTACTGACCTGAACTATGTGTACTAGGAGCTAGGGGAGCCGAAGAAAACACAGATCATGCCCTCTGTCCTGGTTTGCCTGTAAGAGTATGTAACCTGGTGTTAAAATACTCACAAAATAGATGGTGTTTTCAGAATTCTTATTCCACCAGGCTGATTGGGAAATACATCTTCCAAGAAAAAATAAATGTGTCCAACTGCAATACCTAGAGTCAAGCAGAAATAAAGGATGAGGGAGAGAATTAAAATTTAGATGGCAGGTAGACCTACCAACATAAATCGACTACATTTAGGATGAATGTCAACATAATTATTAAAAATTAATGAACTAATATTGTAGTATTTTACAATAGGTAATACATGAAGGCCAAACAGAATAAACATGCAAAATAGTGGTAAAATACTTTTACAGGTAAAATGACTTAAAAAATAGTGAGAAGAGCCTTACCCAAAAGGTCCACAATGATTGAGTTCCCCAACAACAAGGAAAAGCCCATGAGCACCCAGGGCAGAAAGGGGGCCTGGAAGTTGAGAAGGCCGAAGAAGTTCATGCGGACATAGGGGTTCCTTCGGCTCCACACGTAGACGAGCATTATTGTAAAGGCCTGGCCCAAGAAAACTAAGCTCACAAACAGACCAAAAAGCTAGCAGATGACATTAAGGAAAATATCAACATGAAAAGTTTAATAGGGAAGACTGAGCAGGAGAACTAAAGATTGTGTTCTAACAAAAGTTTGAATTGGAAAAGTCAAGTTGTTACATCTTTAGAACAGAAGGAAAAAAACCCAGAAAATAATTACCCAGAGCAATCAGGCAAAAATCTGCTTAGGCTAAATTATTGAGATTTACAGCTACTTCAAACAAATAATTCTGCTTTCGTGAAGTTCTTGCCTCTTTGGAAAATGTGTTAATTCTTCGTTCAATAATTATATTAAAGCTTGCTCACGATTAGCACCTTTACAGAGGTGAATAAAGCTAGCTGGAATAAAACCATCTTGTCGGACCGTACCATATCTAAGTCTATTGTATAGATGAAAATTCTTTTTCTGAAAAATAATTTATTGGTTTTGAAAGCCACCAAGTAAATGTCTTACCAACTTAGTTTAAAAGTGAAGTACGCCAAGCAGCAATGATATAACTGAGATGCTTAACAGGAACCCACCTGGGTTAAAAGTTCCTGTGACTTGCTCTTCCTGTCCGACTGCTAGGCTTGGAAACTTGTCACAGAAAATGTGCTGTAAAATAAATGATAGCGCCCTGAAGCTAAGATCTGGAGATCTACTTTTATCTGTTTGTTCCGAATATCTAGAGAATTGTGGGAGACAGATGACAAGTTTTAGGAAGAGCCAGGGTGTTCTTCAACATTTTCCCGTAGGTTTTCTATTTGTTGAAGGATACGGTCATTAAGAATCCACCAAAAAGGAACATAAATACAAAGTCTGCTGTCCGACCTCGGAAAGAGCCTTCTTCTAGCATTCGACAGTAACGATATCTTAAGTTCCAAGTTAAGAAAATATTCAGCACACGAATATGAACAAAGTAAAAACTTAATGTTATCTTGTAAGTACACTTGGATTCCATATTATTTCTAAGAAGTCAAGTCTTCATTTGTGTAAGAATGTTTGAGTGGTAATGTGATTACTCTTTTACCAAGCATTTTAGAAAAGGTCAAGACCAGCATCATTTTTAACAAACTGTCCCTGGCTGGGAACTAATACAGATGACACACAGACCACAGACATGCTTTCAGTCCCCTATCCTTTTTTTTTTTTTTTTCCCTTTCGAGACAGAGTCTCGCTCTGTCATCCAGGCAGGAGTGCAATGGCACAATCTCGGCTCATTGCAAGCTCTGCCTGCCAGATTCAAGCGATTCTCCTGCCTCAGCCTCCTGAGTAGCTGGGATTACAGTTGTGTACCACCACACCAGGCTAATTTTTGTAGTACAGAGCGGGTTTCACCACGTTGACCAGGCTGGTCTCAAACTCCTGACCTCGTGATCCACCCACCTTGGCCTCCCCAGGTGCTGGGATTACAGGTGTGAGCCACCACACCCGGCCCTCCAGTCCCCTACTAAACCTTTAAAAATTTGTATTGTCTTTCCTGTGCTCAGCCACACCTTAATCTGCACCATCTTTGCTTCTCCACGTCCTAACTTGGAAGAAATCCGCAGCAAGAAGCCTTGTGTGCTAAACTACTTTTCCAGGCCTGGCAGGTTGAGCACCTCAGTCAATAAAGATGAATCATGAGGAGAAAAAACTTTACTGGAAACTTCTCAGAACGATATACTACACAGGACTTAAAATGGATTCCTGCCATCCTCGGGAAGGAATGCAGCTGCAGATGAGCTGAACTGTAACTCCCTCTTCATACAGAGGGCAGGGGTGGAGGAGGAATGCCCTGCTCTGTGGCCCCAATTGCCACTGGATCAGAGCTGGGGTTTTCCTTTCAACAAACCGGAACTTGACAAGCCCAGCAGACACAATCACTGTCTTTCAGCCAGTAGTTCCAGCAACCACGACCCAAGGAGATCTCAAGTTTCCACTCCTCATGAACCCACTCCAAAACTTATGCCCAAATTCTGCTAAATTATCATTGTATTCAGGTTGTTTTACCGCTTTGTACCTGTTGGTGTTACTGTGGAGGTATGCCTCAAATCAATTCTCCCCTCCCTTGATCAGATTTGTAAGTAACAAAAAAGCAGAGGTGCTATCTTTTTATGGTTAAAACCTCCCATTTGAACAGTGACCTACAAACATTTTCAAAACATTACTACCTAACCAACTACTTTATGTACCACCGACCCAGAAATTACAGCTAAGATGGTACCAAAAACAAATAACAGGATTAAAAGTTTCAACTTAATTTTTTACTTCCTAAGAAAACAAAGTTTTGATGCTGACCCCATTTAATAAAGGATACAGAAAAATCATGTTAAATAAAAAATTGAATCCGACTGGCCCAAAAAATAAGAAATTGGTGATTAATCTCCATATCTGTTAAAAAAAAATCAAGAGAAAGATGTATTAAGTAAAATAAATTACCAGGAAACAGTTCCATATTAATACAAAAGATACATCCTATGACTGCGATGGTTGAGAAGCCTTGGACAGAGTGATATTCTGTTCTGAAACAAAAACGGGCACATAATCTGATGTTAGATTTTTTTTTTTGCTGCTTTTAGTTCAAAGTCTGAAAGACATCATTGTGACTGTGACATTTATAGTGATAGGACAGAAAATTTTAAATTGTGATCATCTTATCGAGAAAGTTTGGTAGGAAGGCTAGGTTAATTTGCCGAACAGAAAACAGTGCTTTCGTGTGTAGTATCATCGTATAATAAATAGAACTGACATACCAGAGAAAAACTTCAGGGTCTAATATAAATTGCTGAGAAATGTTTACATCAGGCAGTCAGAAACATCAAAAAGAAAGGAAAATTCTTTTTTTTTTTAATTAAAACTTAAAAAAAAAAAAAAAATAGAGACAGGTTCTCACTATGTTGCCCAGGCTGACTCAAACTCCTGGCCTCAAGGGATCATCCACCTCAGCCTCCCAAAGTGCTAGGATTAGAGGCCTGAGCCACTGCACCTGGCCAGAAGGGAAAATTCTAAGGCAAATACCCAAGTTCTAATCTGAACAAATGGCCAACTCCCTGTAAGAACTAATGCTCTAATAATTACAGTCTACTTGGGAGATAGAAGAACACTCATTTTCTTTTTCCTTTTTTTTTGAGACAGAGTCTCGCTGTCGCCCAGGCTGGAGTACAGTGGCACAATCGCAGCTCACTGCCTCCCAGGTTCAAGCAATTCTCCTGCCTTAGCCTCCCAAGTAGCTGAGATTACAGGTGTGCACCACCACACCAGGCTAATATTTTTATTTTTAGTAGAGGCAGGGTTTCATCATGTTGGCCAGGCTGGTCTCAAACTCCTGACCTCAAATGATCCACCCACCTCAGCCTCCCAAAGTGCTGGGATTACAGGCGTGAGCCACTGCGCCCGGCCAAACACTCATTTTCTTGTTGGAAACCCTGATACACCCTTCCCTACCCAACCTCTCCACATCCACAGTAACCACTCACAATGGTAGAGTGCTTAACATTTTAAAATGTCTACTATCTGTTGTGATCCTGTGAGACAAGCAAGTTAATTCACAGATAGGAAACTAAAAGACTAAAAGTTGAACAACTAGCTGATACTAGTTATTCAGCTAAAAGTTGAACTACTAGCTGAACACTAGTTATTCAGCTGAAAGTTGAACTTTTAAATGTCCTGACCAAGGACCCGCAGGAGTAGATGGAGACTGATGGCAAATCTCAAAGTCCTAACTCCAAATGTCATCAAGAGTTTAACAGTTTAACCCCAGGCAGAGTAAAACCAAGCAAGCCAAGTAGGAAGCAAGACTTACTTGGACGGAACTACAGCTCCATGTGAGTATTGTGGGAACACAGTGACAAGAGATGACAGGACTACTTTACAAATCACTAAATTCTTGAGAATTGGTAACTATTAAAGTTAAAACAATTCAGTTCTACATATTAATTATCCAGATTTTAGAGTCCTCATCCTAGTGAGGAGACAAGCATACACATAACTGCAAAGTAAAGGTGAGAGATGCTCTAAAACAAAGGAGGATGAGTACATAAAGGTTACACAAAAGCTGCGTTTTGAAAGGCAAGCCAGAGTTCAATGGGTATAAAGTGAATGAAACACATTTGAGACAGAGGGAACAGCATGTGTAGAGGCACAATTATTGGCTTTTGGGTCTCTCCCCTACTCCAACTATGGTCTGTAAGATCATCTTGGAACAGAAAAATCCATGTTTCTTTTAGCATTTTGAGACAGAGTTTCGCTCTTGTCTCAGAGGCTGTCATAATCTCAGCTCATTGCAACCTCCGCCTCCCGGGTTCAAGTGATTCTCCTGCCTCAGCCTCCCCAGTAGCTAGGATTACAGGCATGTGTCATCACGCCCGGCTAATTTTTGTATTTTTAGTAGAGACAGGGCTTTACCATGTTGGCCAGGCTGGTCTCGAACTCCTGACCTCAGGTGATCTGCCTGCCTCAGCCTCCCAAAGTGCTGGGATTACAGGCGTGAGCCACTGCGCCCAGCCTCTTTTGACATTTTAATCACCGGAAAGGACCATCTCCCACTGTAATCTAATAAACCACCACGTAGCTTTAGATGTTTGGAATTTTGTTAGTATGATCTGATCACTGGAAGACAGATCACAATTTAAAAGCACTAACAGAATTGAGTTTCTGGACCATCATGATAACACCAAGGTGGTGGGCGTGCCTAGGTGGTGAATGGACAAAATAAGGCCCTCCCTGCAGAGACAACCCCTAAGCAGCTAGCTGGTCACTCTCCTCTCATACTACAACATTAAGTCTAAACCAGTGATTTCTGAATACAGGAACTGGACACATCAAAACGATGCAGGGAACTTTAAAAATGAAACACAGATTTTAATTCCTACCCTTGCAAATTCTGATTTGGTACTTGTTGAGGAGCTTGGGAATCTCTTCAAAGTTCCCTAAGGGATTCTCAAGTCCAACCAGGCTGCAGAATCACTGCTTTACATCCTGACAAGACAACTTATAATCAAAGGTCCCCCACGGGGTTCTTTTTTAGGATAGTGTACAACGGGATTTGCTACTAAACAGTAAGTAAAAGAAGAAACTGAAGCATTAATCACTATTGTGATGAACCACTTACTTGAAAGTGTTTAAAGATTAATTCAGGATTGAAGTACAACTGAAAAGGTGTGATCAATTCCAACTGCTGAAATAGAAAAAGAGCTTCTTAAAGCAAATCAACCAAGAAACAAAATTTCATCATTTACAACAAAGGATTAGTAGGTCTAGCAATTTCCAACTCTCGGTCAATTACTGATTTTCTTTAAGCCTTTCTTCTTAGGCCAGAGGAAGAGGTTGGTAAAGAATTCTCTAGAATTGGTAGAATTCTTTGTATCCTCAATACCTAACACAAAAAAGTTTATGTTGCAATAGTTGAGGCTGACATGAAGAAATGAGGCAGACAGGTGGTGATATTTTAGACACAGGACAAATAAAAACAGCTGCTATGAATCTACCCACCACATGGGCACCACCTGAAACAGCCGTGTGAAACAACAAAACTCACTTGAAATAACGGAGACTCGAGACCCTGCCACCGTTAGGGCTGGGTACCTCCAGCTAGCCCTTTGTTACCCAGAGACCCTCTTTATTATAAGCCACTCCCCTCTGGACAGTTTCCACCTTGCTTTCCTCATTCCTGTTTCTTCATAAAACGGACCTTCCTCTCACTAGTCACCACGGTACCACCTGGCCATTGGCAGAGCTCTCGGACACATTTCTCGGGTGGGAGGCTCCCGCAACCCTAACCCGGTATAGGTCCGGTCCTCATCTCTTAGAAACTGACCTGACCCCCCATGAAGCAGCACTCCCTTCTCAGGTCACTGGATAAGCACTCTCGGCGCCAACTCGAACCCCAGAGTAATCCCTGTACGTCTCCACCCATCCCTGGGACAGCCCCTCTGGGCCTCCCTGAAGCCCAAACCCCAGTTTCCTGAAGACCCAGTCATATCCAGCCCAGATAATGAGAAGGTGGCACTGCAGCTGCTCACCACGGCGGCGGTGGTGAGGACGCAGGCCGTGGTGTAGGCGCGGCTGACCGGTGGGATCTGCAGGTACTCCAGCCGCAAGCTCTGGTACGCCATCTTCCCCACCGTCGCCTGCCCCCCCTCACTTCCCCTTCCGCCAGCAGGCCCCGGCGGCTGGGCGGGACAAAGGCCTCCCCCGCGCCCGCTTTAGGGTTCCCGCGGCTGCCCAATCAACGCCAAGCAATCGGTCAGCCGCCAATCCGTAGAGACTTAAGGAAGGCACATCCGCCAATCACGAGTTGCGTCGCCACCGCCCCCCCAGCGCTCCATCTCCCCATCCTGGCTTCTCCACCAGCCAACGTCCGGGAAAAGCGAGTAAGTACAGGTTCCTTCTGCCAATCCCCGCTGGCCACAGCTAACTTTCCCGCCCGGCCCCTTTCTGTCATAATTGAGGTGTCCCCAACCAGCCAATCAGGAACGCGAGAGTATCCCGCGTTTACTTTCGCTCGCCGAGGCGCGTATCAGTTGGAATTTTGGGGAGCCAACCGCGCCGTCTGTCCCTGGCAAGCCAGCGGCGGTTTAAAGGAGGTGGCGGGAAGCCTGTGTGTGCTCGAATTCGTGACCCTCATGGTCGCTCCGGTAAGTACTGCGGGGCAGCATTTTCTCTGAGGAGAAGCGGGGACGGACGAGACTGGCTTAGGCGGCATCGCGAGGGAGCGCGGCGGCCCGTGGGTCGGCCTTACAGCGGGCTCCAACCTGAAAGTCCCAGCATGCAGCGCGGGCTTGAGGCCCGACGGATGCCGGGAGCCGGCCGGAACTTCCGGCGCTCTGGCTTCTGGGTCCTGTCCAGCGCGATCGCCGGGTCTTCGCTTAACTCACTGAGATGGCCTGGGCACCTCTGCGTTGAATCGTCAAATACTGATCAAGCCACATTTATTCTGCCTTCAGGAACTCTAAGTCTAGCAGAGAAGATGAGGCGGTAGAAGTTTATCAGCCAGTGCCCGAAGAGAGGTCCTGATGGGAATTCAAAGGAAGGAGTTAATCAAGGAAGTGTATTTTTTTGTTGTTAGAGATGGCGCACATCTGTAATCCCAGCTACGTGGGAGGCTTAGCTAAGAGGATCACTTGAATTTAGGAGGCCGAGGTTGTAGTGAGCCAACATCATACCACTGCACTCCAACCTGGGCGAGAGAGTGAGACTTTGTCTCAAAAAACAAAAACAAAAATAACAACAACAAGAAAATTAGCCAGGCATGGTGGCCTGCACCTGTAGTTCTGGCTATTTGGGAGGCTGAGGTGGGAGGATTGCTTGGACCCGGGAGGTTGAGGCTGCAGTGATCCGTGATCATGCCACTGCACTCCGGCCTGGGTGACAGAGCCAGAACACGTCTCACAAAAAAAAAACAAAACAAAACAGAAATCCTACCTTACATATACGGCCAAACAATTATAACCACTCTATATTTAGCCATTACAAACGTAAATTTTTATTTTATTTTATTTTATTTTTTGAGACGGAGTCTTGTTCTGTTGCCCAGGCTGGGGTGCAGGGGCGCGATCTCGACTCACTGCAACCTCCGCCTCGGGTTCCAGTGATTCTCCTGGCTCAGCCTCCCGAGTAGCTGGGATCAAGTGCCCACCACCACGCCTGGCTAATTTTTGTATTTCTGGTAGAGATAGGGTTTTGCTATGTTGGCCAGGCTGGTCTTGAACTCCTGACTTCAGGTGATCTGTCCATCTCGGCCTCCTAAAGTGGTGAGATTACAGGCATGAGCTATCGTGCTCGGCCTACAAACATAAATTCTTAAGATTAGCTGCATCTTCCCATAAGAAGATTTGACTGTACTGCTTATTGCAAATTATTTCATAAAGTGCATTCTAAATTCACCTGATAATTGAAGTAGCAGTTTGTTTTAGCTAATTGCCTTTATCTGAATAATATAACTTCTCTTATTTCTATGACAAGCGTATCATTTCATCTCAGAAAAAGATGCCTAAGTTGAATTCCCACAATGGCAAGGAGATAGGGGTTTATTTTGCTAGATGTTTATATTTGAGAGGAATTGCTTGCAGACCCTTGAAAAAACATGTCAGGGTTATAAAGCTGACAAGGGACTTACTCATCTTCTAATTGGGGTTTTTTCATATGGCTTGGCTGGAGAACAAGCAAATTGAGGACATCGGCAATGAAGTGATCAAAATGATAGATCATGAGGCCTAAAATGAATAAGGAAAGAAGAGAAGTGGGAGAGGCTGAGAACAGAAAGAGAGGGTGGAGGGGCTGTAAGTTTTGAAGATTAGGGTGTAATATGAGTATATAAGAATTGGAAGAATTTTATAGGAGGTGGTAGTCAAAAAGTAGAAGCAGTTTGGAAGAGTGGTTACAAATATCAAGAGCCAGGTGGCTAAAAGGTGGAGCTATAGGTCATTGAAGCTCAAGAAACTGAATCTCTAGGGCATTGGTTAAGTCATCTGTCTAGACTTCAAAGTTGTCTAGGATGGTAATTCAGAAGACTGTGATCTGTGCCAAAGTCACAGGTAAGGGAAGTGAACAATGAGGAGGGGAAAAGGGAGAGTATAGGCTGATGGAAGGAGCCTCAGAGAGGCAAGAGTTTATATTCTGTTGTGGAAGTGGCATCAGGTATAAAGGAAAACAAACTCCTTATTTTTTATTTATTTGCTGCTTTGTTTGCTATCTGTAATGTGATTTGTTATCCTGCAGAAGATTTTTTTTTCCAAATGAATTATTTCCTTTTTACATTTGCAGGTTTTTCACACCTGAAAATAACATAGCAAAATAAGCCAAGATGTCTGTGGATCCAATGACCTATGAGGCCCAGTTCTTTGGCTTCACGCCACAAACATGCATGCTTCGGATCTACATTGCATTTCAAGACTACCTATTTGAAGTGATGCAGGCCGTTGAACAGGTTATTCTGAAGAAGCTGAATGGCATCCCAGACTGTGATATTAGCCCAGTGCAGATTCGCAAATGCACAGAGAAGTTTCTTTGCTTCATGAAAGGACATTTTGATAACCTTTTTAGCAAAATGGAGCAACTGTTTTTGCAGCTGATTTTATGTATTCCCTCAAACATCTTGCTTCCTGAAGATAAATGTAAGGAGACACCTTATAGTGAGGAAGATTTTCAGCATCTCCAGAAAGAAATTGAACAGTTACAGGAGAAGTACAAGACTGAATTATGTACTAAGCAGGCCCTTCTTGCAGAATTAGAAGAGCAAAAAATTGTTCAGGCCAAACTCAAACAGACGTTGACTTTCTTTGATGAGCTTCAAAATGTTGGCAGAGATCATGGGACTAGTGATTTTAGGGAGAGTTTAGTGTCCCTGGTTCAGAACTCCAGAAAACTACAGAACATTAGAGACGGTGTGGAAAAGGAATCGAAACGACTGAAAATATCTTAATTGCTCAGTAGTCAAAAGGAGGAGCCTGTCAAAAAGTAGAATCATAAGGAATTTATACCAATGACTGTTCAAGCCAACCATACTTTTTATTAGATTTGCTTTGTCAACTCTTTCTTGTATTCTGTGTCTTCCTCTTTTTTGGTCCACTTTCCTGAGGTATGTGTGTACTTCTTTGAACTAGGCTGCAGCATCTGTTCCTTAGAGTCTTCTAATAAGTGGGAAGGGATCAAACAAAGAAGCCATGGCCAGTTAAAGATATTTGCAGAGTTGTACCTTGGTCATAAGTCCTTTGTGACCTTGATGATTTTGACTTACTCTTTGGATGAGACCAGATGAGAAAAGGATTAAACGAGTGGCTCCTTTAGTAGTAGTAGTATTTTTGAGGCAAGGTCCCCTTCTGTCAGCCAGATTATAGTAGAGTTCAGTGGCACAGTCTTGGCTCACTGCAACCTCTGTGTCCCGGGCTCAAGTGATCCTCCTGCCTCAGCCTCCCAAGTAGCTAGGACCACAGGTGCGTGTCACCATGCTTTGCTAATTTTTTTGCAGAAACGAGGCCTCACTATATTGCCCAGGCTGAGTGACTTTCTTACTAACCAGTCATTACACTGCGGGACAGCCAACATAGAGTACTTGCTCTCACCCTGTACATTTTCTTACATCAGGGAGTCAATATGTAGTGGAAAGAAGCATGTAGCAAAAAAGACAACCTTGGTCTTTAATAAGAAAGAAATTGGTTTATTTCCAAAATAAATCTCCTGACAAAAATCCTGGTGATGTTAAGCAATTGACTGTCTTAGAGTCCAGCCGGAGAAGACCTTACACAAAAAAAGAGAACCCACTGGAACAGAGAGGGAAGCGTGTAGCATACTCAGTAGTGAAATTTAATTTTACTGACTGTTACGTATCCATGCCAATTTATTTTCATACTTCAGTTGGTTTCGGAATCTGCCTTATACCTAGTATTTAATTATTTATTCATACTCACAAGCATCAAATATTTAATTCCCTCAGTGGGAAATTTGTGTTTAAACTCAATGGAATCTAATATTTCTTTATATCATTAGTCCCTGTAAAATGTTAGGTCACCCAGGGAAAGGGGAGAAATAGCAATGGCTGCTCCTAAGGTGTTGCTTGCCCTCCATGTCTTCCTAAAGAGCAGAACTTGGAGTTTCTCCTTTATGTAGAGAAGAAGTAACTTAGGGTGTATCTGCAATGAAATATTCATAGATACTGAAAGCTTGTGTTTACATGAAATATGTTTATTATCAAGAAGTCCTTTTTCCAATTCTGTACATTAAATATATGTGTTTTAAAAGGTTTGGTTTTTATTTTCTGCTGTCTATAATGCCATGGTATATTTCTTTCCAGTATAACTTTTTACTCATTTGAAAACACTGTCCTTTTCACATTTGTAGCTTATTCAAAATCTAGTGGGTTGAACAGTGATCCCTCAAAAGATAGGTCCATGTCCTAATTCCTGGAACCTGTGAATGTTGCCTTATTCAGAAAAGGAGTCTTTGCAGGTATAATTAAGGATATGGAGATAAGGAGATCATCCTGCATTATTTGGATGGACCCTAAATCCAGTGAAAAGTGTCCTTATAAGAGAAAGGCAGAGGGAGATTTCAGACAAAAGGAGGAGGTATTACGACCTCAAAGGCAGGTTGGGGCCAGGCGCAGTGGCTCACACCTGTAATCCCAGTACTTTGGGAGGCCTAGGTGGGCAGATCACTTGAGGTCAGGAG